TGATTATGTAAATGTTCTTAGAAAGAAACTTTTTGTTGATGAAATATTTTTTTTTTTTGGCGAATTGTACAAGTTTGCTTGGGTACCCTTTTCTTTTCAAATTGATTTGACTTCGAGATTACGATATCAAATAATAATTATGCAAGACCTCTGGATTTTCTGCTTTGAGTAAAACCGTTCCGCGAGTCTGTATGGGTTGATTACTCTCTTTATTCATGTTAATTGCTGTAGGATTGGGGTGGGCTTTTAATGAAGCATCTGAAGTTTGCCGATTTGATTATTTTAATTTTAAAATGCAGTTGTTTTTAACTTTCGATCTCTGTGTGCCGATTGTAAAACATTTATATCTGCTAATTTATCTCGTGTTGTGATTTTTAATAAAACTACTGAAGATAAGATTATATTTTCGTCTAAAATTTGGGCTGTGCTCTTCAGACATTTTCGAACATTTTGCGCCTTATTTCTTATCTGGAACAAAGTATATTAGAGTGGAAGGAATGGGCAGCAATAATCGCCCTCCGAGCTATATAGAGTAATATGTGCAGTGTAATATGTATATAGTTGCGGTGCCAGGTTAGAGTCGCGGCTGGCTGGAAATCTTAAAACAGTAGCGCACGTAATATAATTGCATCCGACTTGCGCATGACGACGCGATGGTTTAGGCCGTGTCTAACAGAAAGATGTGGCAGGACTCTTAGGACATTTCTACGATATGATGAACATGAATTCCAATCGACAAATAAAAGAATATGGCTTGCTTAGATTTAATGCAAATATGACTGACATATATATACAAGCTGTATTACATTTAATATTAACGCTAGCATTTCAGCAAGGTGTAGGCATACAAAAATATGTGACTATCGAAAATTGAGTTAACAACATTAATAGCTCTATTAAAACTTAATTTATTTTCGCACATAACATAATTATGAGTATGAGTGCTCGTCACTTCTGTCAAAACAAGAAAATTGTCCTTTCCGTTCTGTTGTGTCCTGTTTTTCGTGCGCTTGTCAGTCAGTCATTAGATTTTCGGTGATAAATATAGAAATGACATTAAACAGCACTGAAAATTAAAAGAGGTAAACTGCTTAGGCGGAATTGCTTTATTACGAATTAAGATTACCCGTTATTTCTTCAAAAGAGTCAGGCAACTTAATTGCTCGCACTGCTCAATAGAAGCAACATTGCTGATGGGCTTGAACGACTAGGTCGTACAAACATCTAAGAAATTTTCAAGTTCAACCTTTTCCATTAAATAGGAAGCGAGAAGCATTTTAAAAATTTGCCTAAGACCATCATAATGCCACCAATTCATCTAGTACAGTGCAAACATTCAGAAAATAAGCAAATAAATGCAAACCATCGTAGTTACATGCTGTTCCTCAGGACAAATAATAGTGCAAGCAAATATCCAAATAGATGAATATTAGTTAGCAGTTCAATAAGTAAGATCTTTCGCCATATATGATATTCAGATCAGTTAGCTGGAATTCGTCGCTTACCAAGTTAGTGATAAACTCGACGTCGGACTCAAGACTTCGCCCAATTCTCGGATGATCTGTGAGCGGTGACCCCGACTTAAGGGTTCGATGATTCATACACAACATTGAACTGCGCGGTATGGGTGAGATATCATACTGACTTTACCACTGAGATACTTGGTGAAACGCATGTCTGTGACGTATGTGCATAGTGACACAAGGGGTAAAGACTAGAGATGTATCGGTATCGGTACCGGCGATATATATCGGCCATGTATCGGTATCGGTTAGATTAAGGCCGATATTTTCAATATATTTACTTTTTTGATACAGTCCAGTGAGGGAATAGGATTCACCTGTTTTTAGCTATTTATTAGCCAAACTAGCTCAACTAATTTTGCTATTTTCGCTGTCAAATTTATATGTTGACATTTTTAATATTACATAGTAATTATGAAAAAATACATCAACACAGCACATAACAAAAAGTAACTATAGGCGCCCAGTTTTAAATCATATAGTGGGATTGGAGTCCTTATTAACGGCACATGCACTTTTGGCAAGGCTTTAAAATAAATTCTGACTGTTTGTCGTCAAGTACGAATGTCATTTAGTCCGTCGACATCAATAAACTAAATTCCGACACAATTATCCTTCTACGCAGGTATTAATTTTAATTTTGTTTAACTCCACAATTTCTTTATAGATATATTAACATGACCGCCTAAAAGCCCTCGACGGTTATAGGTAGGCCTTCTTCTTGTCGGTGCTGGTTGATATTCTTTCATGTTGGCTTTGATTTATTGCGGTGACGATTACGATTAGCCACAAAATAAAATATTTGTAAAATGCCTTTAATTTGAACGTAGGACGGCGGCGCTACAATGTGTGGGCGATATTCGATATTTTTTTAAACACGAATAACGATATTGGAAGGTCGTGATATTGACATTAAATTCAAATTTGGTCATCTTTACATTACCGAAAGTTTGTATTTATTTTGTGTTTTTTTAAATACTTTTAGCGCAGATGATTATGTAAATGTTCTTAGAAAGAAACTTTTTGTTGATGAAATATTTTTTTTTGGCGAATTGTACAAGTTTGCTTGGGTACCCTTTTCTTTTCAAATTGATTTGACTTCGAAATTACGATATCAAATAATAATTATGCAAGACCTCTGGATTTTCTGCTTTGAGTAAAACCGTTCCGCGAGTCTGTATGGGTTGATTACTCTCTTTATTCATGTTAATTGCTGTAGGATTGGGGTGGGCTTTTTATAGAGCATCTGAAGTTTGCCGATTTGATTATTTTAATTTTAAAATGCAGTTGTTTTTAACTTTCGATCTCTGTGTGCCGATTATAAAACATTTATATCTGCTCATTTATCTCGTGTTGTGATTTTTAATAAAACTACTGAAGATAAGATTATATTTTCGTCTAAAATTTGGGCTGTGCTATATCAACACAGCACATAACTATAGGCAAACTATAGGCGCCCAGTTTTAAATCATATAGTGGAATTGGAGTCCTTATTAACGGCACATGCACTTTTGGCAAGGCTTTAAAATAAATTCTGACTGTTTGTCGTCAAGTACGAATGTCATTTAGTCCGTCGACATCAATAAACTAAATTCCGACACAATTATCCTTCTACGCAGGTATTAATTTTAATTTTGTTTTTTCTATTTATTTTTTTGTCTGAAGAGATCGTGAGCTATGAGCCATACATGTCCCCACCCCCCGTGAGGGAATAGGATTCACCTGTTTTTAGCTATTTATCAGCCAAACTAGCTCAACTAATTTGGCTATTTTCGCTGTCAAATTTATATGTTGACATTTTTAATATTACATAGTAATTATGAAAAAATATATCAACACAGCACATAACAAAAAGTAACTATAGGCGCCCAGTTTCAAATCATATAGTGGGATTGGAGTCCTTATTAACGGCACATGCACTTTTGGCAAGGCTTTAAAATAAATTCTGACTGTTTGTCGTCAAGTACGAATGTCATTTAGTCCGACGACATCAATAAACTAAATTCCGACACAATTATCCTTCTACGCAGGTATTAATTTTAATTTTGTTAAACTACACAATTTCTTTATAGATATATTAACATGACCGCCTAAAAGCCCTCGACGGTTATAGGTAGGCCTTCTTCTTGTCGGTGCTGGTTGATATTCTTTCATGTTGGCTTTGATTTATTGCGGTGACGATTACGATTAGCCACAAAATAAAATATTTGTAAAATGATTTTAATTTGAACGTAGGACGGCGGCGCTACAATGTGTGGGCGATATTCGATATTTTTTTAAACACGAATAACGATATTGGAAGGTCGTGATATTAACATTAAATTCAAATTGGACATCCCGGCTTATGAGTTTTCTAATTGAACACCGAGATGATTAAGCATCTGGATACCAAACATCAATTTCATATTATGTGATATCTCTTTTTATGATCTGAAATAATATGTACTATGAACAACGCTCAAAGACCATTGTTTTAACCCGTCTGCCCTACACAGCACATCTAATTAAGTAATAAATACATAGTATCGAAATATCAGTAATATCGGTCTTTTTGTATTATCGGCGTATCGGTATCGGCGTTTTTAACTGGTATCGGATCGGTATTGGTATCGGCGACAAAAGTGGTATCGGTACATCTCTAGCTAAAGACTGTCAGAGAAATTCCAAGGGGATGTTATGTTTCGCGTCCGAAAAGAATAATTTCAATAAAAAGTGACAAGATATTAAATGATGTTGGGTTAAAGGACATATAGGGTCTCTTAAACTTTTTTAAAGTTGCAGAGGGAATTTATCAATGCCATTTATAGATTTTGCCCTCACAGAGGTATAAAATACTTGAACAATTACTGAATAACAAACAACAAACCTGGTTAAGATATATTAAGAACTGACTTTATAACAAAATTGAAATTGTAATGGACACCCTTTATTGTTTCAATAGTTATGAGAAAAGCAAAAAATATTGTTGCGCCAAAGTGTCGTTTTTGTATTATGTGTACCTACTCAATCACAAACATGAAGTGAAGTTCTGTAGAGTGTAGATCATGTCAACAAACGTCGCATAAGATCAATTCCGATTATAATTACCCAAAGGAATGGAGCCCCGTAAACGTCACTAATGCTCTATTATGACCCCTAGAACATGTTTACTCGAGACTGGGCTTATAACGAAACACAAATATACTAACAATAAATGAATAGTTGTCTTGAAAAAGGTTCCATGGAATGTGGTTTAATCAGACAATCTTCTCAGTCACATCCTAAATAAATCTACGTTCTTTATTTCCACTAGTAAACAACGATCATTGGTCACTGATTAGAGTGAGAATGAGATATCTTTGTTTCTTTATTGAAAATGACAACTCCCTTCTCTTGTGTTTCTCTTTGATACTGTTCTTTTTTTTCTCTTTTGACCTCGAAAAAATATTTGGCTCGCGTGCCACATTTCGGTTCAGGGCGTGGTAGTGTGAGGTCGTTCCTGCGCTAGTCTGAGCCAGGTATATTCACAATTTTAAGGCAGGGAAGGTCTGGATATAATTAAGTTAACTAATTAGTTCCCATTCTTCATGCATATATAAGCTAGAACTTGAATTGTATAAATAATAATCTATTTCGATACAATTGGGTAGCGCATTTTTTCAGTCATATTCAGAATTTTGAGTGTTATATGATGAATATAGATTTCAGCATCGAGTTCTTGTTTCTTTTCTTATATACCTTTCGAGTGTATTTATTCACGTGTTTTGCAACGTTTTTCTTTATGGACCAAGTCTTGATTTTTGATCATATATTTTGTGAGTTGTAATCCGCGTCAACGTGTTGTTTATAATTTTCCTACTTTGCACAAGAACTTTGTATCATCGCTAAAAAGTAAGCCATAACTATTATTATCAAACTACAGGTTTAAAAGTGAAGAAAAATCTACCGATATATGATATTGGCATGGTTGATGGTGGAGTGACGACTGATTGATGTAGGTAGAAAGGTAGCTGATCTAAAGTAGTTTATCAGTTTTATCATAATTTGATTAAAAAGTAAAGGCTTTATAATTTTTAATCTAATTACAGGGCTTTACGAAGATATTGTTACTGCTGGTGGTCGAGTGACGATTGGTCGATGTAAATGGAAAGGTAGATAGTTGGTCTAAAAATGTTACAAAATCTAAAGTTTTTATCACAACTTGAATATAGAGCAAAGGTTTTATAACTTTTAACTTAATTACAGGGCTTTGCGAAGAATGAAGATATTGTCACTGCTAGAGGACGAGTGATGATCGGTCGAAGTAAATGGGAAGGTAGGTATGTTACAAAATCTAAGGTTTTTGTCACAACTTTATTATAGAGCGAAGGTTTCATCATTTCCAATTTAATCACAGGTCTTTGTGAAGCTAGAAGATATTGTTTCTGCTGGTGAGCGAGTGGCAATTGATCGATGTGAATGGACAGGTGGATCGCTTCATTTTTTATGAACAATATTTTACTCAGAGACGGAAGTCCATCACTAATACCAGCACACTACGTCAAATAGCCACAGATCCATTCCACTGCGTGTTGGGTCATTCTAAACAGCGCTTCAGAAGTATGTGCACCAAGATGGTGCACAACTGATAACCCTAACCTGGCACACATACTATGTTCAGGTTGTGCGCCATCTTGGTGCACATACTTTGGGAGCACCTGCTAAACTGACATTAAATACTAAAGCCGGGAATACCTGATAACTTAATAATCGAATCTTGATTACTATAAGAAGATATTTAAATTTCATATTAAACATGATTGTATGCAAACTTTTATTTTAATATAGATTACTGAAAACGTAGAATCCATCACTCAGTCAGTTCGATAAGTCATCACTCACAATAAGAATCATTTTTCATCAATAACTCACTGAGAAGAAAACAGCCCGTCTCTCATAACAGCATTCTTCGTCAAATAGCCACAGATATGTAAATAGCTGTTATTCTTGTGAAAAAATCCGCATTTTTAAACTTTAACTTATCATTCAGATTCTGACGGGAACAGCGAATCAAGGCGATCTCAATATTACAAATCTGGATAAAGTAAGTAATTATTTTATTTCATCTTATGAAGGCGTGAAGTATATAGTGAAAAAATTATTCAACCAATTACTTTATCTGTATCTTTAATATACAATTTTAACTGCAGTTTCGAATTTTAGTATATTCGCCTAGCTATGATTTGTTTACCCCCAAATCCTTTTTCAAATTGGGTATAAGGGGCACCATTATCGGAAACTCGCCTGGGCAGCAGAAAAGTTTGGCACGTCCCTGTCTATGGCTATCTCAATTACATCCATTTAAGGCAGGGGTCGGCAACCTACGGCCCGCGGAGTAAAATAACCCGGTCCGCAAATGGGATTCAAATGGTATTTTTTGAGGTGCAATGCAATGAGGAAATAAATCTATTCTATTCAATAGATGTATCACTGCTTGATTTTTATTATAAAAAGTATCATCTGTTCGGTTTTCAACTTTCTAAAAATATGTGCGGCCCGCCAATGACTTGCAACCCTTAATTTTGGCCCACGAGCGACAAAAGGTTGCCGACCACTGCTTTAAGGTTATAGAATCAATTTGCGGAGATATTTCGATACTGTAAATTTTCGCTGTTATCGAATCCCAAGTGTTGCTTTTTAAATTTAATCCCAAGCATATGGGTGTTTTACTCGTAATTTTAATTACAGATTATGGAATTGCGGGTAGCAATTCTAGTCCAGAAATTATATTTTAAGTAAAATCATGGCGATTTGTGAAATATTTCTTCCAACACCGTGTTAACTAGTATTATACATTTCAGGTGTGTACTTGACGGAAGTAGAAGATGATTAATCCCCCATGAAGCAGGCGTAAAATGGCAGTTATCGAGATATGGAGTGTTTTCGAATTGTACCAATCGTATTTTCCATTTTATTTTAATCAGTTCTGTATCCGGGTTTTTGAGGAGGTCAGCGCTTGCTTAGCCACCCCAGATCGTGGGTCATGATAGGTATCGATTGGTTAGGGACACTTGAGATTTCTTGATGTGTACATGTGAGGGCTGCCATTAAATAACTATCAGCTCGTAGACTGCTATCATAGATATAAGCGCAAGATTCATTCGAATACGGTATCTTGTAAGTTGGTAAGGTTCCTGTACTTTGTCACAAATTTCGTCGTTCTGTGCCTAAAATCTTTGCAGTTTTTGTTATTTCAACATAGTTTCTTTTTGTTAATGGATATTAATAAATAAATGTGAAAAAATATTTCCATGCTTTCTGGAATTGGTCTGTCAGGTTTCGGATAGTTAGTTGTTCGGGATAAACTAGCAATCATCGGAATGCCGAAAGGGCGTATGCAGCATGCGTATGACGTCACTAGGATTATGACCTCACCCTAGGGAGCAGCGGTATTTTGGGGCAGGTCGGCGCTGGGTCCGGGCCGAAACGACGCGATTAATTTTTATCTGTGGGCGATCATTAGCCGTAGATAAACAGAGTATAATTCCCAAAATTAATCCACAATCATGCATGATCCGAATATAAATTTCAAAAATCTTCATTTTCCAAGGTCTGACTGACGCCCTTCGATTTTCTCCATTTTCGTTTATTTTGGGATTTCTATCTTTTTACAAGTCGGAGCTTCCTTCGTACTTTAGATATCTGCGTAATCTAATTAATGACGACACGAAATTGATACGGGACAGTAAGTTCGCGGGATTCAAACTTTGGTCACCATGAACAAACTAAAGGTATAAATATACCGCCTTTACCAACTAGGCCGAGGAGGAACGCGAGAGCAAGGATCTAAGTTCTAATATTCATCATTTATCTTAAATGACCTAATAAATTTTTATTTACAAGGTCTTCGAGATGATACATGAATATTAGATCTTAGACATATGTTTCTAAGTTCTAAGTTGGCCTGGTTGGTAAAGGCGCTGGGTAGACCATAAATTTGTTCACGGTGACTAAAGTTTGAATCCCGCGAACGTAACATCCGCTTGTCAAATGTGGGTCGTCGTTGGAAGGGCGGCGCAAATATCTATATTCTATATAACGAAGGAGAAACTCGAGCTGTGGACTACAGAAACCCCAAAATATGAAGGAAATGGAAGGGTCAAACCTTTAAAAAATAGAGGATTTTGACATTTTTTATCTGGACCATGTATGATCATGCTTGATCGCGTATAAGTTTCAGTAGTTATACTCGATTTATCTATGGTCTACGATCGGCCAGAGATAAAAAATCGCGTTGTTTCAGCACGGGCCCGGCCCCAGGGCTCCCTATAAATCGCGGCTAGCCATTGTGACGTCATACCCTTATGACGTCCTAGTGTAAAATCCGTAGAAACCAGTCAAGAGGACGTTGAGACACTTCTTACACCTATGCTCCAACCCCCATTTCTTATTAGCCTTTAACAAAACCCAGTCCCCGACAACCAACAAGCATGGAGAAACAGATATTGCTTTAATAATTTTATTATTCTTCAAGCAAGAGAATACATCTAGTCTTCGAAAAAAAAATTGAGATATTAATGGGAATGCAGGGACGGATTGTTTAAAAGCGAGCAACATTGACATATCAAGCTTTTCTGCCATGATCAGACACGAAATGAAAGAGTTGTGAATTTCTGGGCGATACCTGGGCTCAGTGGCATACATATATAGCAAGTGGGCCACTGCCCCTGACGCCATTTGGATAAGGGCGCACAATGGGCGAAACCCCATTTTGATAAAAACTACTTAAGTAACGTAAAAGTATCCCAAAGCATTAAACCGTAGTTGAAAATTTCAGCAAACGATCGATCAAGAGGGCGCATTTTAAACATTTCCATAGGCGCCATTTCAGGTAGATACGCCACTACTGCGGTAAGCTTTGATATCCGGCAAACTCTGGTAGAAAGATGGTTATATAAAAAATTGAAATACACCCTTTATATAATCAAGATGGTAGGACAATTCATTCCAATGTTCTTCAACGTACGTGTCCGGTTGTCGACTGTCCTTTGATCTTCCCAACCAGAACGCAACTGAAATATTAAAACGGATTCAACAGAGCACAGGGCAATTATGGATTACATTTGACACCACCGATGAAACACAGATCCTAAAAATTTAAACATCGACTTGCACAACCTCAACTCAAAAATTCATGAGATTCGAAACTAAGCTTTCAATTTGATATATCACGATAGCGATGCTCAAATATATGGACACGAAAATCAAAACGAAGTAGTACGAGTACGCAATCTGTCACTACGCCACAGGGTGCGCAATTTTTAATTTTGATTGCTTTAGTTAAACAAGAAAAAGATCCTCAATAATACCAATAACATAATAACAAAACGATCTCATGTCCACTTCATGTCCAACGATTTCAGACTCCAGACCGACAACTTGAGTAAATTCTTCTGCAAGTTTGTGTACCTAATGCCGCAAATAGCAACAGTAACTATAGTTATTTCCGTGGTGTATCGAGGAAAAAGCAGCGATGAATGAGGCAAAGAAGTGCGTTTTTGCAACTGGAATATTAGCTCACCAATATTACCAAAACTTTCTAAATGGAATAACTTTTGAACTGGTAATGAACTATTGGATTTTAAAGACTTCGCCCATCGATGACAAATGCGCCTTAATTAACACTTTCAAGTACACAAGACTGCTAATTAAATGAAACGACATCCCGATTTCACAGCTTAAAAGAATATGAAACAATATTATCAAATATTCTAGTTGAATCAATGCACAATTACAAAAATACCTAATTTGAACAGACAGAGGATTTGTGAGATCCGTTGTCGCCTCAATCCACTTGTTCCGCAATCCGGACAGAATTTGCATGATAAAATAAAAGTTAGACATCGGTCTTCAATAGGAATAGTTGCTGATCGTAAACAACAGTGACGATCGCGCACAAGGGATGCGTAGACAACTTTTTAGGTTGCGTTTAGCTAATTTAAAATTATTAAATTAGCCTTATTTTGGATATTTACATTTCTTTATTTTGGATATTCACTTTCCTTTTACGTATTTCAACATGTATTTTTGAATAAAGCATACTTTCGTTTAACTATCCGTTATTTGTAGCTTGTTAGCAAGTTTTTTGAGGTGGGGCGCGAAACGTGACAAATTCTAAAAAGGGGCGCGGCTTAAAAAGATTTTAGAACTACTGCTATAGAGTTTCTTTTAAAGAATATTATATGCTTGGGTAATGAGTAACTACTGATTTGCAATTCAATTTCTCTAATCCAACTTGTGGATTAGTTATGAAATGAAAACTGGGGTTCTCAGTCTCTAGTCTAAGGATAAATGGGGGTGAACAGGGTAAATTAGCAATCAATGAATTTTAACGTCGAAGATTTGATTCAACCTACCAAGAAAAACAAAACGAGTAGCGATAGGAAGCAGCGCAACAAAGAACAAAGGATTTGTGTAATAAGAGTTATTATGCTCTCACTACAAAGGTAGACCATGTTTGTTGGTTACAAACTAGCTAAGAGCTTTAATGTAAACATTGCACATTTCTACATTTAATACATTCTGCCCCTTGAAGTTCTTGTAGCAAGTTTACGAAATTGGGAAAAAAATAGGACTAAAATATGAAATAAAATTTGACAACCCTTGAAATAAAGCATATATATATATATATATATATATATTCAAATCTACACAATAATATGGACCACCAACCGAATTTCGTCATGAGACTCACAAACGATAACACTCAAAATGAAGAACGCATCATATGACTAAGAACGTGCTGGTAACTGATTAGCACTATAAATATTTTTCATTATTTTATTTTTTTAGCGAAGGAAACTTCTATATGTGGATAGTACTTACTTTAACATTTACTTATTTAGCGTTATTGCACGTGGTATTAAAGCATACAACTACTTAAAACCTTGAACGTTAAAAAGCGAGTTGTGGGCAACTATCTGATAAACCTGAAGAAAACTGAAACCAGAGTTGCTTACGCATAACAAGGAGAAACAGGCAAAGGGAGGAAGTATTTGATAATTGTGGACCGCAAGCTGAAGCACGCGCGCATCTCCAGCAGGGTTTTAACATGATAACGAGTAAGTCATGGAAAGACAATAATATATACACTTACTTTAACAAACTCTCGATTCGTGAAATTAGCTTTCACCTCATTCGCCTATCCTCGTAATCAGGACATAACCTACATGATAGAATACAAGTTAATAAACTATCGAATCCAAAATATTATAGCCCAATTAAAAATGCCTTTATGATTTCAGCAATAGTGAAATGACCTCCGCCAATGTTATTTTGCACACATTTTTATTTCACTTAACACATAGATTCCTATGCCGGTACAGATGGGATGGATATTTCGGCTTTGAATAAATGATAGCAATTAATTTCAGTGTGAATTGAATTCAATTTATGAAACACGACCACTTGCAAAGAGTTAAGCGTAATTTTACAGCAGTGTTCCAACCTTTATCGTTAAAACTCCCCTTCGCCTATTAGACTTGATGGGTCATGCGCACTCACACTTTTGTACAATTTAAATGTGTTAAATTTATTCATTATAGTAATATTAATAAAGAAATACAGAATATTAGTAGCTGTATTTCAGCAAATACTGGGCAAAATTTTCCTCGTTACGGAACGTTAAGGGAAATAAATTTAAAAAAGTCTAAGATAAAAAGTTACCTACCTTGCTTATGCTTGAAACACGCCGGAAAGCCGTACCTCGCTCCACATGTTTTTCACTTACATTGGATACTTTCAAGCACTGATTGAAAATTTCTGAAGCTAATTAAAACCACTGTAGAAAACACTGTACGTTAAAAAATTTTGAAGGTAATTTCAATTTTCTTTGATTAAATTGTTTAATCCATGCTTGTTTTTGTCTCAGACGCAGCGGAAATACTGCCTAAATTCCATAAACAGTTTTCAGCTTCCATTAAATACATTAAGGACTAATTGCACACTGCGGTTTCGGTAACACAAACATCGGATTCGGATTATGCCCGTTAAGTATTATTAAATAAAAAATGAATGAAAATATTAAATGTTTAAATATTAAATGAAAAATGAACAATAATATTTAAACAAGTAATTACCCCGCCTCTATCATTCGTCACATGGGCTATATTTAATGACTGTGCTGATAAAAACTCACTTGTAGCTACCATGTCCAGCTATGCCGAAGATTCGTCTCCTATCAACTTTTGTCTGCACGTGCAAAAGAAAATTGGAAGGGTAGTCCAATAGTGGA